CGATCGGAATTAGATTCCGTGAAGCTGGTAATAGGGCCCCTGGCAGATCACCAGATCTCTCTCCCATCGAGCTTGTCTGGGATATGATGGGAAGGCGATTGATCTGGCACGGAATATTGATGACCACGTTCGACAATTGGATCGAATTTGGCAGGAAATACCGCAAGAGACCACCCGGGAGCTTTATTGGTCTATGCCACGCCGTGTGGCAGCTTGTATCCAGGCTAGAGGCGGGTCAACACCTTATTGAACTTGTTACTGTAACTCTGCAATAAATGATTCAATTGTTCTGAAATTTTAATCATTTACTATTCTGTGCATTGTCTTTCTATCCACCAATTTTCGTTTCAATCGGACAACTCCTTCTTGGTGCGTCGATTTTTTTGTTATAGAGTGTATATTACTTGTGCTTTTATGAATGATATTGTTCACTGACCATTGTTAATGAATTGATATTTTTTCTTAACTTCCGGATTGTTTAATTCAAAGAAATGTTAACGATTTAATCCAACAACATTATTGCAACATTCGAGCACCAGCCTGTGACGGGCTTTCTGTTGTTTTTCCAAGGTTCGGTCATGATATGGAATAACCCTTTTTTTGCGAGTAAATATGCCATTTTCATAATTTTTGTGAATTTGTAACAGTTATACGCGATTGTTATCAGCAGTTGAGAGATTCTATAATAACAGCTTATTGTTTTAACAATTAAAAAGTCACTACAGTGTTGCACTATCTAGGCTCATAAAAATTTGCAAAAATTGAAAATTATGCATCGACTTACATAATTGTCATGTAGGTAGAAAAATCTTGCTTATTTTGCGATTTTTAAGTATATCTAATAGCTTCTGAAATATGTAAGTCATTTGATCATTCTATGGCCCAGATAATTCTTTACGGTAAAACGAAAGATGTATTTTAAAATAATAACTTTGCATCAAATGTAAGGCACTTAAACTGTGGCATTTTCTTTATTTTCTTTGGCAAAACAACTTCAAAAAACACTTCAGAGTTAAAAGAAGTCTGCTGAAGAACTGTAACTTCATTAATCTGAAGCAGTTTTCTGCTAGATCTACCTGCAATTAGAATACTATTGAATGATGAGTCTGAGTTTAAGGTGGCTATACATAGAAAATGCAGGCGTTTTTTTCTGCCAGTCCTCTCCTAATGTACTTCGTAACTGTGTGACTCTCTGTGTATGTTATGTATCCATAAATGCGTCAATCTCTGATCCACTGATTTCTGAGTTCGCATATATCTTGGAAGAGCATGGTTTTAAAAGATTTTTAGTCTATCTCTTATAAGTAGTAGCTGAATAAAAGTCAATTCAGGAGTGCTCCAGGTCCTGCAGATCGTAAAGACACAGTTCCCGTTAGAGCACTAAAGTCAAGCCTCACTGGCTGTGGTCAGTAAGCGGGTGGGTGACCTCTTTGATCGGCCTGCACAGGGACTGAGGGTGCGTGGTATCGGTCCTCATTAAACTGTTCTACCGTGAAGTGCTCGACTGCACGCGCAGGTCGTCGCGCTACCAAAGCAGGTGCCTTATTACCAACTCACCGAAATTTGTTTCGCTCGGAAATGATTCTGCTCGGAAACTAGCTTTCATCGGATTGCCAATTTCGTAGAACCCACTTTTCCGTAACATGAGCATATCGGAATTCGGATTCGAAATCGCCATTCCTTACGATTCCGGTGAAATTGAAGTTTGTAGGAGGAACTAACTTTGACCAATTAGAAAATTTCTATAATTCTAATTTTTTAATCTGGCAACGATATGTTTGTTTTCTCTTCTATGCGAGCTAAAATCGCATTAACTTAGAACAGAAAGCTTAAAAATTCATACTGTTCAGCTACTTAGTGTGTTTATTTGATCGTGTGTCTCAGGGACTAATATAGGGAATAAGGGGTAGGGGAAAAGGACATTTAACTTTTCCCGGGGGGTTTTAGAAAAGCAACACGCCTTTGACAGACCGGTTTTACGCACAAAAAGTGGCGCTCGCACCGTACCTGAGCATTGCGCGTAATCAGTGTTGATCATTAAAAAGCAATTTAATTTGAATTCTAAAATTTTTTTGTTTCTAAATACCAATATATAGTTTTGTATATTGCTTAAAGATGTCTATACTAAACTGCAATGTTTCTTGACAATGGAGAAATATGCTGAGGGAAAACGAAGAAAATAGTTCCTGGCGCGATGTCTGTATTTCGAGGAAAATTACGCATTTCACAATAGAAATATGATAAGTTATCTTAACCCACACATATATAGCGTTAATTTGCTATAATTTTCTTAAAATTTTATATATTTTCAGATTTACGAGCGGCGCATCGCGGAATGGTATCTTTATTTAGTTATATTTCTTCTATATAACGACTGAACTTATTTCTCCTTCTTCCTCCGCCAGCCGTGACGTCATTGTCAAGAAACTTTGCATTCTAGTATATGCATCACTCGTAATTTATTTGTTTGTTTATTGAAATTTTTAAACCAGAAATCATTCAGATTACGGCCAATTATATAGTATTGTTTCGGTTTTCAGAACTTGGGTTAATTAAAACTGAAGGAAGGATATGTGTTTATTCAACCATAGTTACTAGTTTGAAGCGTCTGGTTCTATTGTAACTGAAGTATAGATGCTTATATTGGCATTTTTTAATATTTAAATATATGATTCAACAGAACGAGTTCAAAACTAAAACCCTTTGAATTTTATAAGTTTTTATTACCACGTTTATATAAACTTGCCTTCGTGTATGTCTGTCCGGGTGGAATTTTGTAATCGATTTTAAACTAACTTCCCGACTAGCTACAAACTTCAAATTTAGCACACAGTTCAGAATTGGATGACAATGCATGAAAATGAAGAGAAAAAAGACATGCAAAGTAAAATAAAATTAAAATTTAAAAAAAAAATTATTTTCGAGATTGTCTTTTGTTGTCGATTCCATTATTTCAAATTATTACGTGTCAGGTGAAAAGATTTTTGTTGTCGGAGTATTTTTATTGGCTGAAAAATCACGTGGTAGGATCCAGTTTTTCCTCATTCATTTCCAGATTGTTTTGGTTGTCATCAGCATAAAACTAATGAAAGTCGTAAAGGTATTGTTTTTCTATAAAGATTTTTGTATCCCTAATTTAAAATAAAAGTTCTATTACTTTAGTAGTGGTCTTGTAGTAGTCTTGACTACTCTTGACTAAGAAAAATAATCTAAATAAAAATATATATTTTTAAAAACCACGTTTTTTGTAGTGAAGAATAATAATTAAAAAATAATAATTTTTTAAAAATATAAAATAAAAATTAAAAAAATCATAGTTTAAAATAAAAAAATTCAAAATAAAAAGTAATATTTTTAAAAACCACGTTTTAGTAGTGGAGAATAATAATTAAGAAAAAAATTGAAAAACGAAAAACGTGGGGCGCATGAAATACATAACAGTAATGTTATATTAGTGTGTGTATGTGTGCTCTTGAGAATATGTGTATGTATATCAGTAATTGTAATTGTATCTGAATGTGGATGTGGAATATGCTTTTGTATATGCATATGTATGTGGATGTATATGTGGCTGTGCATGTGTATGAGTAAGAAAATGTGTATATGTATGTGTATATGTACTGTTATGTATTTCATGCGCCCCACGTTTTTCGTTTTTCAATTTTTTTCTTAATTATTATTCTCCACTACTAAAACGTGGTTTTTAAAAATATTACTTTTTATTTTGAATTTTTTTATTATTAGCATATTGTTTTAAAATCGTTATAATTAAAAATGCTTTATATGACACATTTTTTTTTAAAGAAACATAAGCCATGCAACCGTAAATTTGCAAAATTTTCCCATGAGAATAAAAAATAAAAATCATTTTCATCAAAATAATTATTCGTAGCATTTATTATGAAGAAATCTGCAAAATCTAACCAATTCGATTGAGGGCTAAGAATTCCCCTCAATCGAATGCTCTTCCTTTTGTTTTGTTTTAACAAAGAAGAAAGATAAAATAACTCATAATTTATCTAAATATTTAAACATTGCTGCCTTTATAAATGTTTTTATTAAATTTTTATTTTATTATTTTTTTTATAGAAAACAATCATATATTGCGTTGCACGTAAAGGGAAACCTCGAAAATATCCTTCAGATTGCTTGACGCTTAAGGAGTTCCAGCTTAATGTTCAGGAATCGCAATGAATTTTTTTTATATAACGAATCATTTTTTAGCATCTTTGACAGACAGTCAATTATATTTGTGAATATAACGAGATGCTCTTTATATTTTCTGTATTTATATTTTTAACTCATCCCAAAACTCACAGTAACTCGCAATTTAAGTATCGGCGAAAAACAATGTTTATAAAAGTTATAAAAATAATTTATTTTAACCATGATTAAGTTGAAATTAAAATTACCTAATTTTGCGTTACACGCAAAGAAAAACCACTAAAATATTTTTCGGATTGCTTGGCGGTAATAGGATTTCAACTAAATGTTCATCATTTTCTCAATGAAATTATTTTTTTATAAGCAATCATTCTTTATTATTAATCAGGCCTAGCCGTTGTGGCTCAGATGATCAAGAGTCTCCTTGAGGTCAGGCTAACCGTGGAAGCTTTTCGTGGTTTTACTCTCCATGTAACGGAAATGAGGGTTAGTTGCATCAAAAAGTTCTCCACGGAGGCAAATTAAACTCAATACTTGATACAGGACTCTCCTTGTCTTCAGGATTGGATTTAAAATTACGAGACTACGGAGTTGAACATCAGCAGTCGTAAACACAAAATTAGGTCGGCTGTTCGACGACGGTTATAAAGTTATGAAATAGATGTGGCAACTCAAGCCACGAATAAGGTTAAATCCCCACAAAAGGGATTTCTACTAAGCGTTTGAAAATTCCTGATTGAGTTTTGACTTTTACGACTCTTACATGTTTATCACTGCCAAAATAAAGCTCAATTATTCTACCTAATGCCCATTTTTGCGGAGGTAGATTTTCATCCTTAAGGAGCACTAGNTTGAAATTTACTATTAAATTCTACCTTAGCATGATTTATTCTGCCATTTACTCTTAACACTCCTTCTTCATCTAAAAAAGGATTTAAATTTTTTATCTTACTTTTGTGTGGCACGTTTTGTTGAGCCCTTAAACACTGCAGATCTTCTGCAAACGCTATACCTTGTACGTTTTTTATCAGAAAGGTTTCACTCTTACTTCTTTCTTTCGTAGTATGAGGCCCCAACATCCTATTTCCAGGATTCCTTACATTGTGGATAAATCTGAAAAGATAACTAATAACATGCAATACTTTAGAATAACTATTGCTAATATCAAGTAATTCAAGAATAAAAAGGTTCGACGTCATAGTAAGCACAAGTAAGCTAATTTGCTCTGAATGTCTAATCTCGCAGGTGAACTCATCATTTAGGATCGATGACGGAATTTCCCGATTGGGATACTCTCGCTCATTCAGAAAATCAGGTCCCTTGAACCACAGTTTATTTCCATTCAACTTCTCAGGATTCATCCCTCTGGAGATGAGATCCGCCGGATTGTTCTCAGAAGATACGTGACGCCATTGTTGAACTTGTGTCAAGTGTTGAATTGATGCTACCCGGTTCGCAATGTATGTTTTTAAATGAAACGGCTCTTTCCGTATCCAGGAGAGGACGATCATCGAATCACTCCACAGGAAAATGTCAGCTGATTCAAATTCTAAAGCACTTTTCACTTTGGTTATGAGTCTTGCCAAAAGGACAGCAGCACATAACTCTAATCTTGGAATCGTAACACGCTTAAGAGGCGATACCCTTGATTTACCACAAATCAAGTTCACTTCAATGGTATCATCGTTTGAATATGATTTGCAATAAATGAAGCATCCGTAGGCAGATTCGGAAGCGTCCGTAAATCCGTGAAGCTCAATATGCACTGGATTTTCTATTAAAATGCATCTCTTAATACTGATAATGTTAATTGATGGCAAAGCATTGCTGAAGCCTTCCCACTGTTGAGCCTCCATTTCAGGAAGCGGATCGTTCCAGTCAAGCTTAAGACACCACAATTGTTGTAAAAAGATTTTCGCTTTTGTGATCACCGGACCCAAAATACCAAGAGGGTCGTAAATGCGTGCTATTATTGACAGCACTGATCTCTTTGTTGGTGGTACAGTACTTTCAATGGAAGTTTGGAACGCAAAATGATCATCGGCAGGTTTCCAAATTACACCGAGTGTCTTTGTCTCATCTTGGAAATTATAGTTATTGTCAGACCCTGTTAATTCCGGGTTGTTGCAGTACCACTTGTGCAGGAGCATGCCGCCACTATTTAAAACCTTTGATAACTCTAATTGCAATTTTTTGGCTTTACTCAAGGAGTCAGCACCACTCAAAACATCATCTACATAAAAATCTTTTTCTAACACTGGACAAGCTCGAGGATAGTTGTTAGACTCATCTCTTGCTAATTGCAATAAAACTCTTGTGGCCAGGTAAGGTGCACTAGTTGTGCCATAGGTGACAGTTTTTAGTTCGTAGGTCTTAACTGGGTCATCTACTCCCTCCCTCCAAAGAATTCTTAAAAGTTTGGTTTGACTCTGATCTATTAAAATCATTCTATACATTTGTTTGATGTCAGCTACAAATGCATAAATATGATTGCGAAATTTTGTTATTATTTTAAATAG